TGGTATAGACGAAACAATGAGAATTCTTGTTTTTCGCGCTCCGGTAGCAGCGCGATGTTTGCGCTATGTCTGTACGATTGTAGATTGCGAATATATGACTCAACAGTGAAGGTCTCAAGAAAAACAGTGAAGGTCTCAAGAAAAGGTAAACTTCAAAAGCATCACTAGGTGACGTTGAAGCGAGCGTCGTGCTAGCCCATAAATAAATCACTACTAGTAAGACGCAATTACTCTCCAAGTACAAGAACTAAAAACAAAGTGAACTCAAGGCTCGTCGCTAGTCTGTGAAAGAAAGAAGGTTCAAGCGAGCTTTTACTGCTAGGCATATCAAGTTTGGAGTAAATGCAGTCAGACCAGAGCACAAATAAAACTCTTAACTCTCAGCCCTACGCGCTGATGAAGCTTTGGTTTGAAGGTAAAAACTGAATAAGAGCACGAAGTAGAAGCAAGGCTTGTTATTCAGTGAAGATCCATTGAGAGATTATCCAATAAGCGTAAGAGACATACAGCGATGTACTTTCGATATTCATTCTGAGAGAGAATAATCGGCACAATTTAGCGCAATTCCATCGAAAAGGTCAATTTTATCCAGCATGCAGCACATAAACATACCTTCAAATTCTTGACGAAGGCGCTTCATTTCATCCTCTACACGTCGCATCTCTGCTTCAAATCGATCTCTCATATTGCCAAACTCATTGTCAATAACTGAGTAGTTGCTGCGATTCACGTCAATACGTCGTTCTGACATCCCTCCTAAAAAGGTCGCAAGTGCGAAGTCTTAAAATCAACATGTTGCACGCAGTGAACGAAACGAATTTTGAAGCAGATAGAACGAAAATGACAGAGGCATAAGTTAGCAAAAACTTTTGAGAGTCAAATGCTGTAAGCAATTACTCATGATTAATGAGTAGTACTTTGTCAATAAATTATGACTCAAAAGCTAATAATCTGAGCGAAAAATTGAAGCACTTTCACGTTGTTTTCGTTATATGGTAACAAACTAGATGCTGACATGAAAGCTTTGACAGATATTAGGTAGTCAATTACTCAATCATTAACAACCTAAATTATTGTGATACAAAAACTGCACTTTTTAATAAACCCTCAAACTTCAATTCGAAATCAATAACTAAATTATTCCGTGACGACGATAACTCCACCAGCCATCAACTGAAAATGATGGGGAAGCGCTAATATATTGTTATTGTAGGTCACAACATATACTGTAATATAGTAGTAATCCAAAAAATATACTTCTAAGGCCCTTTCAATTCTATAAATTATATACAAAGCAACGCAGCGAAAATCGAGCATAAGAAAGCAAAATCATAATTGCATGGCTTCATGGAGAAACAATAAGGTGTTGCTAATGACTGTAGTACAATTGATTACAATTCTTAATCGTTCTGTCCCGCGTTCGGATGCGCCTTGGCCGATATCCTCACTACAATCTGTTCGCGCCACCGCACCAATCACTCATACCGTGGTACCCTAGAGACCGTTATCTCGACTAGTCAGCCAGAAACAGAGCATATAAAACATAACTATAGTGATCTGTAGCTTTGAGCCTATTATATCTTCTTGCTTTGTTACAAATTGCTTTTCGAAACTTTTTTT